GGACGTTTTTGTTTGTATGAATTTTAATCATATGGCAATTAAGTAGTTGTTTTCTTGATCCTACCTCTATATATTTTTATAAAAAAAAAGGAAATTATTATTTCATAATGATAATGCATCATTAAACTAAGATAGATGCGAAAGTACTGATGTTATATAATGTTCTCACCACGTTTTGTATCATAAATTTTCTCAAATTAATCAAAGCATGTATTTTTTTGTTTGTTTGTTTGAGATGCATGTTTATAACCAAAAAGGTGGAAATAAAACACACAATCGGTCCAACAGATGAAGTTTTTTTTTTGTTTTGTTTTAATTTTATATTTGCCGTTCGTTATTGGCTACATACAGTACACACACTCTCAAATGGGACAAGACTACAACATACAGAAAGAGACACTGCACGTCACAATCGCGACTTCAAATGTACCTTCTATCTCCTTTCTTTATTATCCAAACACCTACTTCCCCTTTCTTTTATTACCCAAACACCTACTTCCCGCGATTCCAAGGGAAAAAAAATAAAAGAAATGAATAATAATTAAAAAAAAAAACTGACGCGAGTTCTCTTCGAAGTGGGACAGAAGAGAGGATAGGAAAGATAATGCAGAAATTATGGTCTGGCGAGATTTTCTGTCTGTTTCTTTCCACAGGGGGTGATAATGATTTTTTTTACTTTTTTTTGTTTTTTTTTCGTGTAATCTGTACCCCATTTTTTTAAACGTATGTGGATCTGAGCACAAAGAGTACACACTGGAAGATATTTTTCATACTTCTTTTCATATGCATTTTATATTACATAGCATCGTACGATAATTACAAGATACCGAACAGGCAGACGTTCTGAGTATTTTATAACAATGAAAATCTCACATAAAACTGCTTCTTTCCGGGTTGTGTTCTGTGGTTCCAGACACTTGCTTGTAAACTTGGTCTTTACAAAAAAAATCATCAATAATCACGATAAACATCTGCTGAAGAAAATAAATAATATAACACTACAACAATTTGTAAACGATGAACACTACGGAACATTATTATTATTATTAATTATTATTATTTTTTTACTTTTTTAAGTAACACCCACTGATAGTCACGATAGCTCCAGGTTGTGAAGAAGACACTTGAAACTATTTACACTTCAGTATTCTAGACTATTCCTTAATCCTAATGACTAGACATTGCACTCATCCGACCCCATCACCTGGAGAGATAGGCCTACTGCAATTCGCATAGGCCTACCCGTTGCCGAGAGACTCATGAACTGGCGAGGGATTTTATTTCCAGTTTGAGTATTTGATCTGACACTTGCGTTCAATCCCTCGCCTTTTCAGCCATGGCGTCTCTTGCGCAACGTGATCGTTTTTTTTCCGATCATTCCCCAAGGCAATACTGAAATAACGGTTCAACGTAACAGATTCTGAAATATGAATAAAACTGATACAAAAATCATCTTCAATTTATTAAGAGGATCCGGGAACGTGCGCGGAAACGGTTCTCTTGATGTGAATGTTTTGGTAGTATGAATACAAAACAAGCTGATTAGCGAGTCTTTCTCTTATTTCTCACACTTCGTAAGTACGTAATTAGTATCATATTACTATTATTATTATAATTTTTTAGTTTTGGTTTCTATTTACATATGTTCTTTTACACTGATCAGTTTCTGTGGCGTCATCACTCAGACGATTCAAAACCAACGTTCTAATTTGTCCCAGAAAAAAGATTCATGGAAAAAACGTTCACAATTCAAACGAGTCACTGTTTTGTTCTTTTTTTTTTTGCCTCATCGTCTTTGAAAATATAATATCCTTTGTCTCACTACATGTCTGTTTATCCGTTCTTTCTTTCAACCCAACACGGGCAATCAGCTGGTTTCGTTTTTGTTTCGAGTTTACAGATCTGAAATACTTTTTTTTTTCTTTTTCTTTTTTTTCCTTTTTTTGTCGTCGCGCACGTCCCCCACCACTTTTTCTTCTTTTTTTTCTTGACAACACAAACATAGAAGATACTGTGAGTGACCAGGTGGCTGCTTCTCCCTCCACAGCGGACCTTCACGCAGTGGGGATAAGGGGCACCAACATATCTGTTTTATGTATATATATGTATATATTTACACATGCACACTTGGTAACACTTCAGACTGTTCAAAGGTGTTGCTTTCTTGCTTTCTTTTTTTTTTAATCTTATATATTTTTTTGGTCCATTTCTTCGATTCACACAACCAGAAAGGATTTTTGAAATCCTTGCACAGGCGATCAACAACAAGTATAATCAAAACAGTGTTCACATCGCCCTCACCCTTTCACAACGAAAATCACTCATTTCCACACGCTGAGCCACCATGGACGTGTAGGTCCTTACCCTAGCTCAGTCTCCTTACAAGAAAATCTTCACACACTCACAGAAAGTAGGAATTCACTCGAATTCTTCTCACAAAGTTAAAGAAACTCCTTTTGGCAAGCCTCGCCCTGAACCATCCTCGTCTTGAAATTACCATTTTTTTGTGTGTGTCTTAGCAATACTACACTGACACATTTACTTGCCGCTTTCGTTCTACATGAATTAAATGACTATATTTTTTTACACATTACACTGTCTGTCGCATCTAACTTGCCACTGATCCAGCACGGGTGAGGTGCGGCCAGGGGGAGCCCTGTCAGCTGGGAGTTTGTATAACTGCTACGTCTTTGGTATGTTGCTGCGATACGTCGCTCTGGACTCGGGTTCGCCAGAAGATTCAACGTCAAACAAATCAACAAAACACATAAATAATCTAGCACTAGAAATATCTCTTATTATTTACACCAACAGCAGCAAAATATGTGAGCACGTGCATGTCTGTAAGAAAAGTTAGTTTACCTTTCACGTCCGTGTTTACAGTCAGTCGGACAGACCGAGATGAAGGGCCGGCGGACAAGGGTGCGCGACCACCTACACAGTTCATCCTCCTCCTTTGTGGTCAGTTCGCCAACTACTACATTTTCGTCTCTAAAGTAATCGTTCTACAGTTACATTTGGTCTGTTTGTAGGTACAAACATATAACAGCGACTCTTGAAATGTCTCTTTACCATGGCGAAAGGGAGGAAAGAAGATAGAGGGAGATAAAGGTAGAAAATGAGGAAAGGTGATCGCGCACTCCTGTGTCACATCCGGGAACCCCTTCAAGAAATCTGCCCAACGTCACCAGTGTTGGTGAAAAGCTTGACTAGACAATTTTATCTTATCTTATTTTTGTAGGCAAGGGGTACTGTTTTTAAAGACATAGATATGGCGTATCAGAGAAGAAGAGAAAGTATAGTCTTTGCTTTCATTTCTCAGAAACAGCTCAGCATAAAGAGTAGTCAAGGCGTAGTTGAAAAGACAGTAAAGGTAAGAGGGAAAATTGTGAACACAATTTCTAGCAAGAGTATGTCTTCCATGAATGTAGGACTGGATAGATTATAATGTCACTTTTATACATATTCATATATATATCTATATATATCTATATCTTTATAATCTATTCACAAAAAGGTACTCTCAGTGTACAGTGGTATAATGAAGATGTGATATCCTTAAAAGAAGGCAGCATACTTGCACATGTGTATAGGATAAGGGAGTCAAGCCTGGGATTGCAGAGTAAGAGAGGGAGAACGGGACAGAGAGAGAGGAAGAGAATGAGCGAAAATAGATAGAGAGAGAGGGGGAAAGAATCTGTAGCCACGAGAGTACCCTGAAGGAAATTCGTGGACGTAGATGTTTGTAAGTGAAAAGAGAGAAGAGGCAGAAGAACTGGATAAAAAGGCCAGCAGGAGAAAGACAAAGACGGGACTCACAGCTCTGTAATCACTTCTCTTCTAACTTGGTATTAATAGAAGAACACTGCATTGCTAACATCCGCAATGCCATTTCGTTAACAAACGAAAAGCAAACAATTTACTGCATGCAGTACACGTTAGGTTTACTGGCTGAAAACAACTAGATTTTTTTTTATTGGTTGTAAGTTCATCTATTGCTGAGGTACATAGCCGAGAAGCAATAACAGGGAGAATACGGGATAAGATATGTGTTATGCACGCGTTTCAAACCTACTTTTAAACAATACAGCATCATATATCATGTTTACAAGGTGGAACGCCACGCCGACACTTCGTCGGGCGAGACGACCCATGAGTAAGATCCGAAACCATTTACTGAAAGAAGGGATCCAAGGAAAAAAGTGTTTCGGTGAACATGATTTTTTTCCTCGTTGAGTTTTCCCTCTTCTCAGGAGGTTTGGCTCCGAATGTGACAACAACGACGACGACAAGGAACTGTTCCACTGTGGTATTGGTGTGGTGGGGTGCGGTCCACCCTCGGGACCCCCCCTCCCCGTTGCCACACCACGGTCGCGAGAGGAGAGGGAGGAAGGCTGTAAACCTCCCCACCACAGAATGCATTATTTTTACTTTTTCTGTTTTTCTAAGTCATACAGTAGCTGCTCTAAAAGAAAGTGTTTATTGTTTATTTTTTGAAAGCATCTCGCCTTTGGCACAAAAATAATAATACGAGGTTAGGCACTACAACAGTCGTTTTTCCTGACAACATATTCAATATATATATATATATATATATATATATATATATATATATATATATATATATATATATATATATATATATACGTATATGTATATGTATATATATATAGTATCTGTGCACTCATACCTTTCATAATTACACTAAATCGTCTTTAGACTAGCAGGTGATGCTTATTATGTACCATGTGATACCAGCACCATTAAGTAGAATGCAGTCATTGTAACTGTCTGTACATTCTTGTTGATTTTTCGGAATTACTTTAAGAAATGTTCAACACAGCGCGACGAGCGACAGTCGCGAGAAAGCGTCTTTCGCTCGCACTGGCAAACACCCTGACTGGCTCCGGTTTGTCTCTGGGGCAGATGCGGCGGCGGCGGGAGGCGCCGGGGCTACCGCGCCCTCTTCAGGAAGTCGACTCATGACCTGCTGCTGTCTGTTAAGAGGAGTCGTCGCTGCTGGAGTCATTGTTCCGCTGCTGCTGCTGCTGCTGCATCTCCTGCTGCTTGCGCGCGGCCTCCTCCTTGGCCATCTGCTCCGCGTCCTTCATGGTGGCGGCCACGTACTCGTTGGGGCCCGTCCCCGACGAGAACTCCATCTCGACCCGGTACTCGTGGCGGGCCAGGTAGCGCACGTACTTCTCGGGGGGCTCCTCGCTCGTGATGGATACCGAGCGCATGACGCAGTGGCTGACGGTGGTGGCGGGCATGGTGAACTCCACGTAGCAGTACTTGTCGAGGGACTCGGGCATCTGGTCGTAGGGCGTGAGGACCATGCGGCAGTTGAATGCGTGGGTGGTGTAGGCACCCTGGCCCTCCTTCGGCAGGCGGGACATTCGCCACACGATGGCTCGGTGCTGGTGCTCGTACTTAGCCTGACCTGACGTGACCTCCATCAGCGCCGCCTCCGGCTGATCGACCGCTCCCTTCAGGCGCTCGATGCCTTTGACCTTGCCCGTTCTGCGGAATCGAATGCAGTCAGGATGCATGCAAGCACTATCTCCATGTGCGTAATTCTTGGAATTAAAAGTGAAATACTAACATGCATGAACAAGGATGAAGATATTCGTGAGTTCTTTTGTTCCTCTCTTCGTTATTTCATTAACATTTTAGTTCACCAAAGACAAAATACGTACCACACGCACGTACGCACGCACGTCCAAGCACACACACACACGTACACACACACACACACACACACACACACACACACACACACACACACACACACACACACACACACACACACTGACCTTCGATGAGCGGACTTGACGGAGCCGTATCTGAAGTGCTTCTCCACGCGGAACATGTAGATCCAGCACTCGGGAAGCGGGAACCGAACCATCACGTCTTCACAAGGAACCTGAAGGTGGAACGGCCGTGTAAATGAGAGGGAGAAAGGGAGAGAGAGAGAGAGAGAGAGAGAGAGAGAGAGAGAGAGAGAGAGAGAGAGAGAGAGAGAGAGAGAGAGAGAGAGAGAGAGAGAGGGAGGGAGGGAGAGGGAGAGAGAGAGCGGCAGAGAGTACCCTGAGGGAAATTCGTAGACGAAAATGTTTGTAAGTGAAAAGAGAGGGGAAGAGGCAGAAAAAATGGATAAAAACTGCCAAACAACATCAGTAGTGAGGAAAAAAAACATCCATCTTAATCCTCGGTATTTAATTCCCCATTTTCTTCCTCCCCCTCATCCCCATCCTTACCACTTCCCTTTCCCTCATTCTCTCCCATCCATTTCCTCCCTCTCCTTCCCATTTCATATCCCACACTTTCTCCCTTAAACTATTTCTCCTCCTTTCCTTCTAACTTTGTTCATTCTCCTCCATCTCCACCTTCTTGTTAAGTTCACCCCCACCCTTCCCTTTCCCATTCTCCCTCACCCTCCCTCTCCATCACCCATTTTCCTTCCTCCTTCCTTCCTTACCCTCATTTCGCCCCCCTGGCCCTACCCTACCCCTTTCTCCTTTCACTCTCATCTAACCTACTCCCACCCCCCCCCCGCCTCCATCAACCTCCCACTGTCCTTCCTCCCCCAACTCTTCTCCACCACTCACCCCCTTTCCTTTCCCATCCTCACCCCCCCCCCCTCTCCCTGCCACCTGTATCATTTCCTTTCTCATCCTCACTTTCTTCTCCTCCCCCCCTCCCCTACTTCTTCTTCTCCTTTCCATTCTTGATCTTGTCCTCCCATTCCCCTCTCTCCTATCATCCCTCTCTCCTTCGTCATCTTCATCCTCCTCTTCCCCTTCCCTTTCATTATCTTCCACCTATCCTTCATCGCCTCATCTCTCCTCCTTCATCCTGCTCCTCCACCCAATCTCCTTTCCTCCCGCCCCCCATCGCCTCCTTCTCTCGCCTCCCCCTCTCTTCCCTCCTCCCCAACCTATCCGTCTACCCCCCCTCCTCCCGCCTTCCCGATCCTCACCTGTCCACTATCCCCGCCCCTGTCCACTATCCCCGCCCCATCCACCAACCCCCTTCTCTCGCCTACCCCCTCTCCCTAACCTATCCCTCCACCCCCCCCCCCTCCTCCCGCTGTCTTCATCTTCACCTGTCCACTATCCCTCTCCCCCCCCCCCAACCAATCCCTCCAATCCTCACCTGTCCACTATCCCTCTCCCCCCCTCCATCGTCCCCTTCTCTCACCTCCCCCTTTCCCTTCATCCCCCCCCCCCCAACCAATCCCTCCAATCCTTACCTGTCCACTATCCCTCCCCCCTCCCCTCCATCCTCCCGTCGCCCACCCACCAAACCTATCCCTCCACCCCCCCCCCCACCTCCTCCTCCCCCGCCGTCCCCCATCCTTACCTGTCCTAGCTTCCTGCCGGAGAAACCAGGCACCAGGATCTCGCTGTTGATCTCCACGCGGCGCCCCTGGATGGTGATTTTGGTCTTGACTTGCAGCGGCAGTTCCCGGTTCTTCGGAGGTCGGACTCGGAAGCGCATGAGTTCGATGTAGCAGGCGTCGGGAGGCTTGAATCTGCGTGGGATAAAGGAGGCTTGAGACTTTTTTTTTCTTTTTATTGAGATTTTTCAGATTTTTTTTCTTTTCTTTTGTATTGTATTGAAGATTTGTGTTTTTTTCTTCCTAAAGGGATTGTGGTAAAGAGAGAGAGAGAGAGAGAGAGAGAGAGAGAGAGAGAGAGAGAGAGAGAGAGAGAGAGAGAGAGAGAGAGAGAGAGAGAGAGAGAGAGAGAGGAGAGGAAGATCTGTTAGTTTTAATGAGAGGTTTTACACGGGAGGGGGGAGTAATTTGCTTTTTTTAAGGCTTGTGGATGGGGTGAACGCTTGTGAAAAGAAAAAAAATGAGGGGATATTTGATACAGTGGACAATTACAAAAATATTAATAATTGTGATAATAATAATAATGGTAGTAATAATAATAATAATAATAATAATAATAATAATAGTAATAGTAACAATAAAAAAAATAAAATGAACCAAAGAAATTATGGAGAAAAGCTCATGGGTAAAAGCACGTGGGTTTCAGTGCTTCTTCCCTCTTTCGGATGAAGTCGACGATAAAGAAAAAATAACAACAACAACAGAAAACAGGTCCTATCTGAAATCCGCGTAAGAGAGAGGTCTTACAGAAAGGAAAAATAAGGACTGCTTTCTGCTACCCCATTAAAGGAAAGAGTAACCTGTTTTGGGAATAAAGAACATTAGTATTCATATATCATTCAATAAAACATAAATAAAATTATCTAAAAAAAAAAAGGCTTTCTCGTATTTTTATTATTCTCGTATTTATTATTCCTCCTCCCTTCCCATACCCCTCCCCTTTCCACATCTCATTCTCCCCCCCACCCCTTCCCCATCCCCTCCCCCCTCTCCCTCCATCCACCAGACGCATTCCACCACTCACTTGATGTGTTTGGAAGCCTCAAACTCTTCTGAATCCACGCAGCAGTGGAACTCCACCGCCTCGAGTCGAATCCACTCCTCGGTGATGACTGGGATGATGTCATGGCGACCCACCACCTCCTTGCCTTGCTTCCTCATGTCGTTGATCCCAAGGTCCACCTCAGGCATTCCTGCGGGGTGAGGGGGGAAGGGGGAGGGGGTCATTAGCATGATGATGATTATGATGATGATTTATGGTTTGGGGTGATAGGCTTTTGTGACTCTTTGTGGCTGTAGTGGTTCGGTCTGTATGTGTTTGTGGTTCGGTTTGTGGTTGTTTGGAGTTCAGTTTGTGGTTGTAGTGGTTCGGTCTGTAGTTGTTTGGGGTTCAGTTTGTGGTTGTTTGGGGTTCAGTTTGTGGTTGTTTGGGGTTCAGTTTGTGGTTGTTTGGGATTCAGTTTGGGTTCGTTTGTAGTGGTTCGGTCTGCAGTTGTTGGAGTTCAACAAATTGGTTATTGTGGTTGACGTTTTGGTTGCAGTCGGTGTGGAAGAAGAATTGGTCTGGGGATATGTATGATTATTACATTTGCTTATAAGGATCGTTTTGTTCGTCTGATACAAATAAATGTTATGATCAAAGCATTTAGATATAGGCCTTTGTTTACTCCCAAAATATCGGCTTCATTAGGTTATCATGTGACCATAGCTTCTATGACCGCAATTCCACATCCATTATATCACCACATAATCACATAGCCCCCTTAATATTACCCATTAGCATCACCATAATTCTACCCTTTAGCACCCCATAGCATTATCCTTTGGTAACCCCATAATGATGCCCTTTAGGGTCAACAAACATTTCCCTTTAGCATCACCAAACACTGCCCTTTAGCATCACCAACCACTACCCTTTAGCATCACCAAACACTACCCTTTAGCATCACCAAACACTACCCTTTAGCATCACCAAACACTGCCCTTTAGCATCACCAACCACTACCCTTTAACATCACCAAACACTACCCTTTAGCATCACCAAACACTACCCTTTAGCATCACCAAACACTACCCTTTAGCATCACCAAACACTACCCTTTAGCATCACCAAACACTACCCTTTAGCATCACCAAACACTACCCTTTAGCATCACCAAAGACTACCCTTTAGCATCACCAAACACTACCCTTTAGCATCACCAAAGACTACCCTTTAGCATCACCAAACACTGCTCTTTAGCATCCCAATACACGCCACATCCCTTTACCTGACAGGAATCCGAGGAAGAATATCCTGACGCGGGCGATCATGCGATGGACCACATTGCCGCAGTCTTGCTCGACGTATATTTCGTCAACGGCCGTCAACTGTACCTCCTCGCTCTTGTAGTTGAGGGCGCGGTCGCGGTGAACAGTGAGTTTGAACAACTGTTCTTCGACAAGACTGGAGAAAAGCTGGAATACGAGGAGAAGGAGTTAGGGTGGAGGAAGAAATGGTGTGTGTGGGGGGGGGGGGGGGAAAGAAGGGATGGGGAAATGTTCACGAAAGACAAACATATTAAAAGAATATGTAATATTAATACTGCAGGAATACGAATGTCACGATTATTTTGAATGGCGAGAGCAGTATTAGGACAGATATTCATCGCACTTTTCTTCACTTCTCCTTTTTCCTTTCACACGTCTCCCATTACCTAACCCCGTGTCCTTCCCTCCGTCTTCCTCCATCCTCACACTCCCTCCTTTCTCTCTCTCTCTCTCTCTCTCTCTCTCTCTCTCTCTCTCTCTCTCTCTCTCTCTCTCTCTTTCTCTCTCTCTCTGTCTATCTATCTATCTCTCTATCTCGCTCTATCTCTCTACCTTTCTATCTTTCTATCTTTCTCTCTCTATCTCCCTCAATCTCCCACCTTAAGGTCCTCATAGGTCTGCGTTCCGAGCTTCAGCAACTGCGATATCTGCGGCGCGTGTTCCACTGGCATGCCAAGTTTCCTGACGTCGCTGGCGAACTCCTTGACGTGTTCGTAGTCTCCCGCGATGGCGTGCTGGGCGAACTTCGAGAGCTTGGTGGTGAGACGCTCGGCCTTCGAGAGCTGCCCTGGTCGCACACCGGGTCGTTCCTTGTAGAAGATGTACTGCACCTTCACCGTGAAGATCTTGCCGAATTGGTCGAACTGCTGAGCGCCTGCGGGTGGAAGGGATGGTGAGGTATGTATGGACAAATTCAAGACTTTTCTATAACGGACTCTCTGATATTCGAATTCTTGCCTTTGAGTCGGAAAATTCTTTAAAAAAAATAACACTCCTCTCTTGAAAAAAAATGTAAATGAACGAGCATTCGCCCGGAGCCGCTTACCAATATCAGACACGGAGTAACAAGCCTGAAGAGGGAGTTCCTGGAATGGGTCTTTGTCGTCCTTGTTATTGAAGAGTTGCAAACACCCGTTCTCGGTGAGCTTCACAAACACCTTTTTCCAGAACCTGGTGACGTGGGGGAAATGAGTAAGAAAAAAAGAGGGGAATGGTTACTATAATTCATTTATTTTTCCTTTCTTTCTTGTTCACCTAAGTGTTTATTTATGTACACGTATTTAGCTTTAGTGATAGAATTATTCGTTGGAGACTTGAGCTCCTCCGTTTGCGATTTTAGATTTCTTGTCTCTTGATTTAGCTTTTTGTTTTTAATTAATTTTTATATTTGATTTTATTAAATTAAATTTTAGATCAAAACTTGATTCGTCTTTGTTTTTGACTAATGTCCTTCCAACGACCCTTTTAAAAGATACAATTACAATCTGATCTAAAGGAACAAATCATATACTTTTCAACAACTAAAATTCAAAGTGAACATATACTGTATATACACACTATCCCATTACAATTCTTATACATTCTTTTCTAATATTTTTCTATCTATGGAATGAAAAGGATCTGATTTTGCAACAGTGAAGGATGTTTAGTACCATTTTTTTTGTTTCCTTTTGGCTTGTCTGTCCTCGCACCGTAGAATATCGCATTGTCTTGCACCGTAAAGATTATGCGATGAATTTTAAGAATATGTTTCGAAATGAGATATAACAGAGAGTGAAAGAAAGAAAGAGAGAGGAGAGAGAGAGAGAGAGAGAGAGAGAGAGAGAGAGAGAGAGAGAGAGAGAGAGAGAGAGAGAGAGAGAGAGTGAGAGAGAGAGAGAGAGAGAGAGAGAGAGAGAGAGAGAGAGAGAGAGAGAGAGAGAGAGGAATAGAGAAAATATGTGAGTGTGAGAGAGAGAGACAGAGAGAAAGGAAGAGAGAAAATATGTGAGTGTATGAGAGAGAGAACGAGAGTATGCAAATAATTATCGTGCGAGTTTTCTCAATACTTATCGACTTCAACGTTCGTTCATAGCTTGTGGCTCGTTGTATGATGTGCCTCCTTTGCGTCACAATTGGCGCTGTCCAGGACTTACGATGTTATCCATATATATATATATATATATATATATATATATATATATATATATATATATATATATATATATATATATATATATATATTGTTCTGTATATGGTCGTTTGTATGTGTCTATTTAGAGACACTTCTTTTATATACACAATGTGCACGTGCAATAACATACAACATCACAACATGCTAATGCTCACACAACAGTCTTCTCAGGTATCATCAGTAAAAGACATTTTAGAATTCAATCAAATCGTAAATAGCATTAAATACTTGACACTGATCTTGTGCAGGAGTGTCTGAAAAATTCTTGTATACACTGCAAGCGTCAGTGTGTTTGTCGGTATATCAAGGGAAGTAAAAGTATATATTTTTGTCTTTTCAACAGATATACTGGCAAAAGAAAATAGAACTGGATGTAATTTTATCGCTTGAATAAAATAACGACCTAAGAATTAAAAAAAATAAATAAATAAATAAAATAAATAAATAAATAAATAAATAAACAGAAAGAAAACAGCAAGAGAAATAAAAGTAAATCACAAGAAAGAATATAAACCTTCGAACAGAAAAGAAGAAGAAAGGTGTAGAGAAAGACAGGAAGAAAGAAAATGAGATATACGAGAGAGGCGAAAAATTTGGCCCATGTGTCCTGATAACTAC